ATTGGGGCAGACTTGCTTTCAGACCCACTTCCTATTTTGAGTACTGAATGAAATTGACCAGATTCGCCGCAGTGTGAGAACCATGATTTGATTTGTGGCGTTTAACGTCCCAAAACCACCATATGATTATGAGAGACGCCGTAGTGGAGGGCTCCGGAAATTTTGACCACCTGGGGTTCTTTAACGTGCACCCAAATCTGAGCACACGGGCCTCGACATTTCCGCCTCCATCGGAAATGCAGCCGCCGCAGCCGGGATTTGAACCCGCGACCTGCGGGTCAGCAGCCGAGTACCTTAGCCACTAGACCACCGCGGCGGGGCAGTGTGAGAACCATAAAGAAACACTAAGGCTGTGAGATTTTTCTCGTTTAGTTAGTTACATCACAATATCAAACGCACTGCTCTTATCACTAGAAGATGCTTGGTAAAGGAGAAAGCTCGGGAAAAGAAGTTACCGGTGGCGATGCCACGCTGAAGTAACCACGCTATCTCACCACAACGTCAGAGATATACCAACCACAACGTCAGAGATTTTGACCAAGTGTGCTACGGCCCACGTAATCCTCAATCGATAAAAACACTGTTTGCATTTTGTTTTGAAGGACCCAATGCAATAAAATTGCAAGCTTCGGCCGGTTTCACTGAACCATCGTAAGGAAATTACGCAAGAAGACTGAAATTCGTGACGTCACGCTGACGTTTCCAAGCTCAAGTTCTGCTGCGAAATTAAGAAATAAAACTTCGACCTTTATCTCCTTATTTATATGGGTATAGCGCACCACGACAAGGACACAAGAGAGACACAAAGAGAGAGACACAAAGACACAGAGAGGACACAAAGAGAGACACATTAGTTATCCTATGACGTTGATGTTGATAACGATAGAGTTTCGAAATAACAATTTACCTGTCTAAACTTAAGTGTTGTTTCACTTAACTCATTAGAAATGTTAATTTTACTTTATATCTAGCAAGTAATTGAGCCTTCAGAAGGCTAATCGTGACTACTTAATATAAATTAGAGAATCTGTGATGAAACTTGTAGAGGGCTCCAAAAACTTCGACCACCTGGATTTTTTTCAACGTGCACTTAAATCTAAGCAAATGAACCTCGATCATTTCCACGTCCATCGAAAATACAGCCACCGCAGTACGTGATTTTACGTCGGTGAAATAAAGATTTTTTTTAGTCGAACTCATGTAAACCAAGCTACTGTACTCGGCAAACTGCTTCGAGTGTTCACGTCTCAGTGTTTCTGTCAGCGGGAGTTGGTCGTTGCTCGCGAAAAGGCACGTCGCGGTCGCGTTATGAAAACAATACCGGCGAAGGAGAGGGCCAGAACAAACGATGCTGGAGGCCGGCTGCAGTGTTTAGCGAACCGTGACAAAGTGCCGCTCGCAGACGCCTGTCGACTGTGCCAAACGAGGAAGACGCAGCTTCTCTCCCATAGCTGCCCTTTGGCTGTCTGGAGACGCCCGTTCAAAAGGCGCCTGTACACAATCCAAAGAACGAGATAGATGAAGAATGTAAGTACGAAAAATTTAAGCCTGTTTTAACCTGTGAGAAAGAATAAGAGAGAGAGAAGGAATGTAATAAAGGTTAACTAAAGTACGTCCAGTTTGCTACCTTACACGTGGGGAGAAGGGAATGTGAAATTTGCACTAAAGAGTGGAGTTGGCAAGCAAGTGCCACCACCTTGTTTCTCCTCTCTTTCACCTTTCCTTCTACCATTTTTTTTTTCAAATTGCCCTTTCTTCTCGTTTCTTCAACCTACACGAACATCACTCCTCCTCACCCGCACTTCTCTTTCCTATTCCTTGCTAAGCTGTACTGTAAACAGTTACGCTATGAATAACCCTGTTTCTTTCGCTTTTTAATCTTTCTTTCCCTCCTAGTCACATTAAGATCAGTCCTCCTCATCGTTAGCACCGTTTCCAGTACGCTTGCGGGACTGTACTTACAAGGCCATGCCATACTTTACACAGTCTCCTTCTCCTGTCCGTTCCCCTAACTCTCACAACACTCCTTCCTATCCGCACTTTCCTTTCCTACCACTTTCCTATACTATACTATACCTCCATATATGCGAGAGAAAGTAAAAAATTAAATTTCGGCGGTTCCTATCTCAGAGCAACAGTTTTTTGGTGAAGTATACGCCTTAATAAGAGTTTAATAATTAGCCCTGACCACCCTTGATGCTTTAATGTGCCCCCCTTCTCCCCTCCCCCCTCCCCTTTCTGAAAAAGTCACCGGTGCCCTGGAATAGGGGCTCCACCTAAATGCAGCAGTCGGCATGTTTGCTCCAATAAAGTTGTTTTAATTACCTTCATGCAAATTTTGCGCTTGTATAAGATGTTTTTGTTATGTCAGAAAAAAGGAATGTAAAACATAGCCCTTGTCCCAGTACATTCCACTGCTCACACACTGATTGGTTCGCACCGAATTGACCGTTTTTTACATTTCGGATGCGACGAAATATCCCATGACCTTTGCACCTCACACGGGCATCACAGTAACGGGGTCAAGAGGTTTTGCGTTGTGTCTGATGCCGATGCGAGCATTGCGAAGCAAAGTCTAATCTCGCAGAGACGCTTTTCTGACCGTCTAACTGAATGATACCCAAGGTCCAGACGAAGAAAAAACGCGAAAAAAAAAAGTACTGGAGCTTGAAAAGAGCGAATATAGTCCACCGCTTGTCATATCAGTGTTTTTTTTGTGTGTGTTTTTTCTTCGAGAGCCCCCTCAACGCGTATCGTTCAAGCGCTCCTCATGTGTCTGACACCCACGGAGCTCACAGAAACACTGCTCTGAAACGTTTGCCTTTCAGCTACGTTACTCGATGTAGTCACTTCATTTTCGTTTGTTGTGGCCCAATGTACTCACACAGTGCATTGCCGAGACAGATAATAAAATACCATCTTTGAACGCCCCGTGCAGTTCATCATGTCCAGAATGTGTTAAACTCGCATGAAACTATTAGATTTGCAATATCATAATCGATGACGACTTGACATTCCGTTGTTCATACAGACGTCGCTCTTGTATACGGGATATCCCGATTATCACACAGCATGATTTAAATAAAAACAGGAACGGCGTTTCGCGAACGAAACCTAGTGCATATTGTTCCGAGTATAGTGTAGTAACCACCACTAATTTTTCGTTGGTGACAATTATTACTTATTCATAACTATATTCGCAACTCAAAATACTTGCCTATTTATATGAATGTCAATGAGGCAGAAGCGCGCATGTTGAAACGACATCTGTTTGGGCCACTTTAAAAAAAATATAATAATTGCGCGCTCCTTATTTTCTTTTATTAGGAAAGCCCGCGAAATATGAAAAATAACAGGAGACTGCACACCCATAACGGACTGCATTCTTGCATTCAAGATGGCGAGGGGCACGAGGGAGGGCTGATGGGTACGATTGATTATATGTGGCGAGAATCGTACGCGTCACTTGTTGAAAACAGGAGGCGCCGGTGTCAGCGTCAGGCACACGTGTCACTAAGGTTCATGACGTAGAGCTCCATATGAAAGCAAGAAGTTGATGGGTTCACCCGTCAAAATTGGTCTCAGTTACTTACATTACGTCGTTAAAGTTCTGAATTATGTACGGGCCAGCGATATACGAAGCGGTATACGTAAACCAGAACTACGTATGCTGTAACTGGTACGTTTATTTCCGCGATGCTGCAAGTTCCTTTTGAAACCCGGAAAGTTATCGGCCGCATTGTGCGTTCGCGTGGTTGACATCTGAAAGCGAGCTGCATTTGTTGGCGCTGAAGTTGCACGCATATCATCGCCATCGGCATCATCGGTAACGCGGGGAACATCGCCGCGACGAACGGCATTGTTGCGAAGGTATTCGAGGGTGACAACAAGCGAAACAAGGTATCTACGAAATCCTGAATCCTATAGCGGCAATGCTTTAGTACTGGATGGAGGAGCGCATGATGCATTTCATGTCTGATTTCCGTCAAAATGACAGCAAAAAAGGAACGACAATATCACGACGTGTGACTTAACTGGACGGTGCCACTGGCGCTGAAAATGCGTTCATGCTTTAGATGCAAGCCTCGCGACGGGCACAATGCCATTGAAGTAGGCGTTATTACGATAGCATTTAAGCAAATTATAGGTTTTCTCGCAGGTCATTGCAAGATCAGCGAGTTCTAGTGCATTAGAAGTCGGTAAAAAGATCGACCGTAATCTTTGCGCACCGCTTAAAGGCGAAACCGGCGAAATTGAGCTCGCAGTGTTCCTGGTATTACCCAACGATAAGTACTAGCAGAAAAAAAAAAAGGCACGAGATTAGTAGATAAACATAATGTATATTAGCATGATACATTAATGCTATTTGTCAAATATGCACCAAGTCCGAATTTCGAGGACCCTTGATTATGGTACTTTGTATGATATAAGTGGTAGTTTACTTAGTGTGACCACCGCAGCAGGATTTAAGGAACAATGAACCAAACTGCAGTGCAATAAATCAGTGCCAATCGTAAAGAAAGGTTGACACCTTCTTTTGGTTGAACCCTGTTATCTTACACAATAAGTTCGGAGCTGACAGCACTTCAGCATAACTGGAAAAGACACGAACGCTATCATTTTGCCGATCACATGACCACCTAAAAATACAGGAAGTTTGAAAGCGCGAACAACGAACGTTCACAGGCAACGCACGATTAAATGTGCTCAACCTTCAAAACACGGCTTTCAAGGCGGTAGTACTGGACGTAAACTCCGTGCGAAGTATAACATTTCTAAGAACGTGACAACATCCGAATAACAGCAGCTCGGTTCGACGAACACCACCTGAACCATTTTGTTCAGCGAAAAGCGCCAAAAAAAAAAATGGCGATGACAGGTCTCTAACCTAAACTAACCCCGTCGAACCGAAAGTGGCGATACCGACAGGTGGACTCATCGACAAAAACCAGAGGCCATGCTTCCGGTCTCGGCAGGCAGATAAGGCGTAACAGACTTACCGGCTTGTGAGGAGGTATGCGCGGAGAAGAAGTAAAAAGAAAAATGCGTAGTACACGATGCGGCCTCCAGGCAGCTGGCGGGAAATCTCGCTTCGTCCGAGAACACAAACCAAAACACAAGCCACGCCGAGATCCCTGGGTGCCAGAGTTGGGCCTTGGCACTCTCGCGCGCCGTGAGGCGGCAAGGTGGAAAGGAGGGTGAGTGGGGGAGAGAGTGAGTAAGAGAGAGGGAGGCCTGATAGAAGAAGGGGTGAAGAAGAGGGCGAGTGGAAGATGTGTGCCGAGCCTTCTCTCCGGGCTTTTTATGTTCGCCAGACAGGGAAGCGGGGACAGAGGCATCGTAGTACGTAAAGTGCTTCGCGAATGCTGTACTCGTGGGTGCGCCGGCGCACTTGTAGACATCTAGTCGGGCCGGTGTCGGCCATATTGACCGTCGTTTTGCGCGACTCGAACACAAAGGCGGGGGCTTTTGAAGACCCGGAAAGAAAATCAAAATCTTAAAAGCGCGCGAGCGAGAGAAGTAGTTAAGAATGAAGATGAGTCGATAGAAAGGACCGGAATACGCTCGGAATGCTAAGCAAGAGAACTTTCGCTCGCGTCAGCCTATATATAAGTGGTTATATCAGAAGAAAAGAAAAGAAAGGTGCCGACCCGTAACTGTCTCTCCTTACGAGGACACCTCAACAGGTCAACAGAGGAATGGGATATGGGGAATAAAAGATATAGGGAGAAGGAAGGAGGGATAAAAAGAATAGAAGGAAAATAGACGGAGAAGAAGCCGCCAGCCAACGAGAGGAAAAAAGAAGGAGATAGGAAAGTGGGGATCCGGTCGAAGCAGTCCAAGGGCGGGGTGCCACAATGCGAGAGCTGCACGGCATCAGGAGACCGCGGAGGGCGAACCAGTCGGCGGGAGCTACGCTGAAGTCGGAGATCGCGAGGGCACAACCGTCCAGCTTGAAATCCTCCGAGCGAATGCGTCAGCCTCAGTCTTCGTATAGTGTTAGCCTGGAAGGCATGCTTGTTCGAGAGCCCCGCCGCGGTGGTCTAGTGGCTAAGGTACTCGGCTACTGACCCACAGGGCGCGGGTTCGCATCCCGGCTGCGGCGGCTGCATTTCCGATGGAGGCGGAAATGTTGTAGGCCCGTGTGCTCAGATTTGGGTGCACGTTAAAGAACCCCAGGTGGTCGAAATTTCCGGAGCCCTCCACTACGGCGTCTCTCATAATCATATAGTGGTTTTGGGACGTTAAACCCCACATATCAAATCAATGCTTGTTCGAGAGTCGAGCGCAGTTTTGGGAATCGAGGACCAAGAAGAATCATGCGAACTTTAGTGCGCCGACACTCTTCCTTCTTTTTAGTTTCATTGCTGGCCTTTCTATAATTCCACTGTCTGACAACTTTTTTTCAGGTTGTTTGCCCGTGACAGAGTTCACACTTTGACCAAACAAGAAGACGTGTACGTTGAACTCGGTGAGGTCGATAATAACGCAATGCCCCGCCGCGGTGGTCTAGTGGCTAAGGTACTCGGCTGCTAACCTGCAGCAGGTCGCGGTATAGAATCCCGGCTGTGGCGGCTCAATTTTCGATGGAGGCGAAAATGTTGGGGGCCCGTGTACTCAGATTTGGGTGCACGTAAAAGAACCTCAGGTGGTCGAAATTTCCGGAGCCCTCCACTACGGTGTTTCTCGTAATCCTATGGTGGTTTTGGGACGTTAAACTCAACATATCAATAAAATCGGTATTGACCCAAACTTGGCTCGCTAACTTGAAATTAACGCAAACGTGACTGTACCTGAAGAGAGAAGCAGGCTCGAGAGTAGTTTCATTTTACACTGTTGCTGTTGCATGACGCACTCGGTAGCGAACGTAAGTACATACACACGAACAAATGCCTCGCTGTACTGTGCCGCTTTATTGGGAGGTCTAAATCGAACCCTTGACCTCGGGCTGAGCCGCACAGCTGCTACTTGGGTACTGCGGCGGTTTTCCAAGAGAAAGGGCCCCTAAACCAGTCCGGCTACAAAGACAAGAGAACGTTTTCTTTTCCTACGGGTGTAATCTCCTTGTCGCCTCTTATCCATAAAACACGCCGATACTGTAAGCAGAATGTATTGAGACTATCAGGATTTAGCGCTTTTCGGCTACACGCGGTTATCTCAGTTTGGGCAGTCCGAACCGAAGTGAAGTTCGCTGACAGCGCCTGATATTCACGCGAGACGAGGAAGAATGGCGGTGCAACTTCACAGTAAAGCAGTGTAAAAAAACGATTTGCAGCCGCTATCCTTCATATATGCACCAACCGAAAGCTCATTTCCTCGTAAGGTCATGAACTGGAATGAAAAAAAAAAAACTGAAATTGGAATGAAATACACGCAAATTAATTCTTTATCGGGCTAGCCGGTTCCTGGCGGCGCGAAGAAGCCATGCTTGGAAATAACACGCTCATTATTTGTATCTGCATATGTTGCTTAGGTGCACTATAGACAGCTTGCACGTAACGTCATGGTCACAGCTTTAGAACGTGCTGGTTTGCCAACATGGCTGCCTTTACGTCATTAAGGCTGCCTTAATGACGTAAAGGCAGCCACGTTGTCATGTAACGAAATCGCGTTTAACCGGCTTCAACATGACAACTATGCGGACAGAACTTTGTCGGCCACCGAGCGTCGATAAGAACAGAAGTTACATGTGATATAACGATAACGTCAATGAGTGACGTCAGAAACCACTCGTGTGCCATGCGGTGCACCAACACGGCGGTGTCAGTGCCAGCCATAAGATATTTGTCGGCGCACCAGCTCTTGTCCAAATGCATGACAACGAAAAAAAAAATATCTGATGCGTATGACGTGCATCGAAATCAATCACGCTATTCAATACATCTTGTGGCTCTAGCGACCTCCCGATCTAAAGGGTACAGCCATATCCATCCATCCATCCATTGTCCAAGCATTCTCACTGACGCAGTGCATCGAAATAGCAGAAAAGGAACACAGGCCCCTGTGGCTAGCATTTTTGAATATCTAGGGAGCGTATCGATAGCGTGTTTCAAGAGGACTTGTGGGGAATACTGGTTACCGTACGAATCACGACTACGGTGTTCAACATAGACGCATTATCTAAACACGGTGATGTATCGCAAGATTTTCAGTGGGCTGTATGTGTTCTCGGTTGAAATAAAAAGAAAGAACACTTGCAAAGATCTCGCGCATTTAGAGTCAGATTTCTCAGCATAAGTTCTTCCGCATGTAGCGACGCGATCATCACAAGCGACTGCGGGTGCCAAATGAGCTTGCGCGAGAGACTCCAGACAGCCCGTCCCAGATACGCTATGTACACTAAGACGTTCCGCATGCGGCGTCCTTGGGAGCCTCCGCTAATTTAGAACACGATCGCGCGCCAGCGCGCTGACCGCTAGAATGATTAACGAGGCAAGAGCGGTGCATGTCTCTCCCGGAGGGGTTGGTTTCTACGCCACATTGAGCTGTTTGGCAGCGGCAACCCCTCTCCGTGGTGTGTCTCACGCGAAGCGATTCTGAGGCGATAGGGCCCAACCCAGGAATGTGAAAGCGCATCGAGCACGTATCTTGATATGCAAGAGGGCTGCGCGAGTGCGTGGACTCGGCTCAGAAGGCGATCTTGTCAGCACAGGCATGGCCGCTTGCTTGGGTGTCAGCGTAGGTCACTGTTACTGCTATGTTTTTTTTTATTTCGAGGCACTGAATAAAAATGGGTCTTGTGCTATTGCATGAGTAAGACTTATGGCGTCTGGGCTGCACTGAATAGAACATTTTAAAGTTCTGGAGCATTTCCAACTAAAACATAGGTATGGCTATTAGGCCCGCTCTTCCGACTGTCAGTTGGCTTCGAATTCTTACCACCTGTGGTTCTTCGACGAATACTTAAAAAATGTCGGCAGCTTGCACGCGAAGCTGAGTCACAGAGGAGCTGATGACTTGGCTCCAATCAGCATCGATAGGCTGTTAACGGGTATTGATCAGTCATCGTGTGGTCCCGATCAGTATCGATTGATTCTTACCGAATAAGACGTACTTTCACAAAAGGTTAATTAGCTAATTAGGCTAGGAAGCTTAAGCACTTGAGCCGGCTTGTTTCGATCACATCACATACGAGTAAATTAGGTTTAAGTAGATGTTGTAATAGTACTAATTAGATTCCCCTCGACCTAGTTAAGCTCAGTTAGGATAGCTTGGTCACAACTGTCAAACAATTTCGTGAGCTTAGATTTACTAATATTAATTAACATTAATCAGTTGGCTTAATTAGTCTACTTATAGGCGAAGAAATGTGATACTATGGTTACCTATAGGCTTAATTAGGTCCGGCTAATACCGTCAGATTTATTACATCTCACGCCGCACAAATACGCTTTGGGAGCGAAGCAGGAGATAACGGAGTCGAAGAGCGCGAGTGCCGGTACATGATAATAGTTTTCTGTTGACCGGTAAATGAGAACAGTTTTTTCTTGATGTCTAACAGCGTAATGAAAAGTTTAACAGCTCCACTGTAAAAGTAGAGACATGGACATTTTCGTATTTTGCACCATCGTGAATCGGCCGCAATGACTGAGAATTCAACCCGCACCCTTGTGCTTAGCTATCAACACCACGTCGAAGAGGAAGAAATAAAAGATAAAAAAGAACGAATGAACAAACGAAAAAAAAGAAAGCTGTCTTGGCTACCAGGGTGCCTCATGGCCTGATTTTAAACGCATGAGACTATTTTTCTTTCATAACAAGAGAGATTCGTCAGCGCTTTTGTTTTGTAAAGTGTAATGAAGCATTTCTACATTGCCCTGCTGACCTCCGAAAGTAACTTCTCGAGAGACACCAGCAGCAACTATTCCCAATCATGTAAGCTGATGCTGAAAAAGCTCTCGCGGGAAGCTCCGCATTTAAAGTTTTTCGAGCAACACATTTCTCGGAGCCGCAACTACCCGATGTCAAAGGCTAAGAGTATTCCATCACAACCTACGGTGACGTTCTGCAGTGGTACAGAACTGGCAGAAGACTCTATCCACCCCCTCACCGAGAACTACAACGCAGCGAAGCAGCCACACTACGGCAGTGGCAAGTACAAGCCATATGGACCCACGCCTGGGCAAAGCAGGTCTGCCCGGAGGTATACTCCGCAGATGTAAGCCAACTCTGGAAGAAGGCGTGA